GAGCGAAAAGAGAGCAAGCGAGCAGAGTGGAGAAGGAGTAATGGTTGGCGCTTTTGACTGCTCGGACCGAACGGCGCCGTCTAACACCGTCTACCAGCTGTCGGGACGGCCTGGAGTGCCACGTACGCGAAAAACGGGCCCCACCTGTCATAAACTCACTTAACTCAGCCCGATCTGCTGATCAGTGGCTTTTGCAAAACAATTACGCTAGACGTGGTGCTTTCTGCAACGATTCTGTATCCTAGTGTTTTTCGCAAACCTAGCCCTTAAAGTGGCTGTTTTATGCAATTTACTCGCCTCTTGAAGAAGACCACCTCGCCCAAGGAGATCAATAAAGCACGCATAATGATCTACTCTAGGCACTAATCCACATACTTTGTTCATATAATCAAAGTAATGCCGACCCACAGAAATTAAGCCTCCATGAGCACAAGCGATTAGCACACCACGGAATGTAACATCATCAGGTTTTATTTGTGACTCCTGCATTTTCTGAAAAAACAGAAGTACCTCATCAGCATAACCATTCTTTGCAAATCCAACAATCATGGAGTTCCATAATGTGACGCCTTGCTTGTTTTCCAATTGTTTGAAAGCTTCAAAGGACGAAGTGATATCCCCACACTTGGAGTACATGTCTATGAGGGCACTAGTTGAAGTTTCATAAGAATTAAATCCAGATTTAATGACGAGTCCATGTATCTCTTTCCCATCGTTAAGAGCTGTCATCTCAGAACAAGCTTTGAGAATACTAGCGAATGTCGCCTCATCTGAGTGAACATCATGACTGCGCATTCTCCAAAATGATAACAATGATTGAGAGCTGAAACCACTTTGAGCATACCCTGAAATGATTGCTGTCCACTCAAGCAGGTTTTTGTGATCTGGTATCTCTGTCAAGAGTTTGTCGGCATCCTCTAGCATTTTGAACTTCAAATATATCCGGATCAGTGAAACACCAAGGCAAGAATCATCATTCAGAAGACCAGACTTCAGTGTGTAACAATGAGCTTGTTTGCCAACAATTAAACTTAGAAGCCCAGTACAACCTGACAGAATGCTTGAAAATGTAAAGCTGGAGGGCTTAAAACCATCTCTAAGAAGCTGCTGAAACAACTGCATAGCTTCATCATCTCTATTGTTCTGCACAAGACCTGCAATCAGAGCATTTATTGGGACTATACTACTTGCATCTACCCGTGCCAAAACCTTCCTACACGATTCCACATCTCCATGCTTTGAATATAAATCAATCAGAGAGCTACCAACAGCATGATTTGAGCAGATACGATACTTAATTGCTAGGCAGTGAATTTGCTTTCCAGTCTTAGTAGCTCGAATACTGGAACATGCATTAACCACAGTAGCAAAAGACACCTCATCTGGTGTTATGCCATCCGCATTCATCGATCCGAGCATACTGATTGCTTCTTCCTCTTCTCCATTATGTGCAAGTCCAACAATAAGGGAATTCCAGGACACGCTATCCTTGTAAGGAATCAGACTGAATAGTGTTTTCGCATCATCTATAGCTCCAAATTTGGAATACATATCCAGTGTTGCATTAGCAACAAGCAAGCTTGCGTCCATGTAATTCTTGATTGTGACACACTGCACCTGTCTTCCCAGACAATGTGAATCCAAGTAGGCACATGCACCAAGAACACCCACGAAAGTGAACTCATCAGCCTCAAGACCAAGCCTCATCATATACCAGAACATCTGGACCGCCTCTTCTTGTAGCGCATTTCGAACAAGCCCATTGAGCATCGCATTCCACATGACAATGTTCTTGTCACGGGAGAAATCAAAAGCATCCCTTGCCTCACCAATGCCGCCGGATTTCGCATAAAGGTTGATCAGAGAGCTACCCACGAAAACGTTTGCATCCAAGCCATGCCTTACCGCCGAAGCATGAAACTGTCAGCCTTCAACAAGCGCCGCCGTATTAGCAGCTGCCCTCAGCATGCTCGCGAAAGTCGATCTACTGGGCCAAAATCCCTGCCTCTTCATGTCCTTATAAAATCCAAAGACCTCATGCTCGATCCCGCTCTGCTGCGCATAGCTGGAGATGACAGCGTTCCAAGCAACCGTGCTCCGCGCCGGCATCCTCTTGAGCATCATCCAGCCTGCCCAAGCTCGCAAGAGTGGAAATGACGGTGACACGGGTCACTTGGTCCGGAGATGATCCCATCTTCACCATCCTCGAGAACAGAGACAACGCTTCCTGGTATCTTCCAGCTCGGAGAGATCATGCTCGCCCAGCACACGGTGTCGAGGCATGCGATTCCGCGGAACACCCTGCGGGCGTCCCCCACGCGACCGCACCTGGCGTACATGTTCACCAGCGCCGCCGCGCAGAAGGCGCCCGAGGAGAAGCCGCTCTTCACCGCGTCGCAGTGCACCTGCGTGCCGCAGGCAAGGACGCCCAGCCTCGCGCACGCTGTCAGGACCGCCGCGAGGTCGAACTGGTCCGGCCGGCCACCAGCAGAGCACTGTCAGTACAAACAGAAATAGTGTTTCTATCTAGTGTATATGAAAAGAAGCATCAAAAATTTGACAGCTGAAGATGGGGCATGAACTCGGCTCACCTCTTATTACGGGCAGCTACTCCCTCCGTTCCATCCATAAGACGTCTTTTGACACTACACTAGTGTCAAAAAACGCCTTATATTATAAAACGGAGGGAGTAGAATGTTAGCCTGCTAGAGAGTTTGTCAGTTCTTATTCTTGTTAGTATTATGCAGTTCCGTGATAGAACACCATGCACTGATAATCCAGTAGCTGAGACAGAAGTAGCAGAAGACGGTCCTCACATTCTCTCGATGGATCAAGTCTTACGAATGGAAAAAAATATTTGTCAGTTATAATCAGGAATACAGTATAATTCTGCGTCTGTAGACACAATCCTAGCTTGATTTTGTAACTGACTGTCATAGTTGGACGCACCAACGCCAAAGATGCACCCATGGAGCAGCGGCCCTAGCATTGATGTGCTCTCAGGTTGGATGCATCGGAGGAAGTCACGGCACAAGACGCAGAAGAGCAACAGATGTGCATGCTCCAGTTGTCCTGTCGACGAAGATGACTGCGTCACAAGCGCCCATGGCGCCGACCTAGTTATCCCAAGCCATGCTTCCGCCAGATACGTGGAGCGCCGGAGCTACCGCTGCAGCATCAACCTTCACAGCCGCCAGCCGCCATCTGCATCTCGTCGAACACGTTGCCCAAAGATCCACGGGAACGGAACCCCGCCGCCGCCGTCAGCCGCCTGGGCAAGGCCCGATGACGCCGACCGGCGGCGGCGAGGGGAGGGCGCACACGGACGACGCCGGAAAAAGCGGATCGAGCGCCGCCCGAGTCGCCCAGGAGGATGACGCGGGGGGCAGTTTTTCCCCCACTTTGAACCTTGTATATATCATATACTCTCATGCACATATGTGTGCTATGTGTGCTAGGGACTAGTATATTTAGACTTATAAAACTTACATATTTTATCGTGGTTGGTAACATTGCTCAGGAGTCATACGTATTTTTCTGGAAATAGGTGAAATAATAAAACACCTCAACGTGGAGTATATAAATAGATCCCTACCCTCTAGCCTCAAAATGCATTGTGAGCGGCACCATGAAAAAAGCAGAGGAATTAAAAGGTAGACTCGTATAGCCCACAATTTTAATATTCCTTTTTCCTCAGTAGTTCAAACATAATTCCTCATTGAATATAATTCCTCTTATAAGGTATTTTAACAGGTTTGCAATTTCGCATAGAAAAATGTATCACTACACTTCCTATGTATTTTCATTTCCTATTTTGAACTATTTTATACAAAATTCCGTTCCGTATTGTGCAGACTTCTGAATTAGATGTAGATTGGAAAGTAATGACACAAGCCTTGCTTGATTCTTTTGATGAAAAGCCAATGGAGCTGGTCCGGCTCAACCATTTTGGCCCACGCCACAACCCATGGTGCCACAACTTGTGGCTGACTGAACGATCCCAGTCTCACCCCACACCATGTCCGCAAGCAACCTCAATGGTGTTAATGTCAAAGGTGAGGGTGCCGATTTAAGGGATTTGGCATGGGGATTCGAATCCAACAGAACAAAGTTCAAAACAATTTCACCCCCCTCTTGAGAAAGTACACCCAAAGGGCATCTCATATTTAATTATTATCAAGGGAAAAAAGTAGTCAGTACGATGGAAAGATATTGGACACAAAATGACCAATAAAAGAAATAAAATTATATTGAAAATCATACTAGCTTTCTTCTTCTTGATTGTAGGCCACTCGCCGGTTATTAAGGGCAGCTTCAAACACCCTTGCCATACTGGGTTGTAACTCGTCTTTGAAACACAAAATCATGGTAGAAAAGTTAAGATGTCAAAGTCGTTTCACCATAAACCAGCCATTTGCTATCCTTAATAGACACATCAGCTGCTGTCAATATCCAAAGAGAGCCAACAGATATGGCAACACAGATTTTCACAGGCCTATGTCGATGCTGTATCAGACGTCGTCCAGGTAGGAGAAGGCAAAATAGACCTTATTCCAGCACTCCATCGCCACCGCTATCTCATCGATGTCATCAAGGAAACAAACCCTAACAAGAAAAAGAAAAATGAAACAGAAGGTCCCCACTCCTGTTGCCATCGACGAGACCGTCAAACAGGGGAAAAGAGGAGGACCAAGGCGGCGGTGTGAAGAGGCCTTTAGCGGCGACGGCGGATAGGGTTGGGAACGACGGTAGCCTTCGAATTGACCCCCTTTGGGGGGTTTGGGCTAACCAGGGTGTTTGTAAACTGTGTTTGCCTGGTCGGCTGAACACGTAACAAGCAAACTACGTGTTCGTTCTTGGCTAGCGTAAACCTTGGCATAGCGTTCGTAGCGTCGTAGTTGCGCTGAAAATTCCCCAGAGGAGGACAGCCGCCCGAAAACCCCAAGCAAAAGAAGCCCCTTTCCTCCGCCGCCGCCGCCGCCGCCGCCGCTTGTGCCGCCATGGCCGACGAGCTGGACGAGCTCATCGACTTCCTCTCCAACAGCTCCCCACAGGTGCGCGTGCCGTCGCCCAACCCGCCCCGACTCCCGGCCGCCACAGCCGGCTCTAACTCGTTCGTACCTTGCCCCCCGCGCTGCAGGTGCGCGGCGCCGCGGCGGACATCGTGCGGGGGCTCACCGGGGACAGCGACGGGCTGCGCTCCCTCGCGGCGCGCGCCGACCGCGCGCTGCCGGCGCTGCTCCGGCTGCTCGCGTCCGTGGGGGGCGGTGGCGCGGGCGAGGCGGCGGCCGACTCGCTCGTCAACCTCAGCCAGGACGGCGACCTCGCCGCGCGCCTCGTGGTGCTCGGCGCCGTCGCGGCCGCCATGGACGTGATGGTCAAGCGCGGCGGCGAGCAGCCCAAGCTCGCGCGCAGCCTTGTCATGCTGCTCGTCAACCTCACCCAGGTCGAGTCCGGCATCTCGGCCCTCCTCCAGGTTCAACCCGCCTGCCTCTCGTCTCAAATTAGCTGTGAAATTGCTGTGTTTCTTTTTGTAGTTCGAGCCCTCACTATGCATGTCAAACTGTCAATTATTATCTTTCTATACGGTGGCAATCTCATCCATTCACCATCTTTTCGAGGGCCATTGAATTTGCCCGATGGTACAATGCTTGTAGCTTGATCATATTCCTTTCTATACTTAATAGAATGTGCAGAGCTCCTGCCAGCTTCCAAATAAGAGCTCTACTCCCTATGTCTTTCTAGAGATTTCACTATGAACCACATACGGATGTATATAGATGCATTTTAAGTGTAGATTCACTTATTTTGCTCCGTATGTAGTCTATAGTGGAATCTCTAGAAAGACTTATATTTAGGAACGGAGGGAGTAGTTGTTACTGTTCATCATGATGCTGTTCAAATGTTTTATTTTGGACAAACTTGTGATCACTGTATGATTTAGGAGCACTAGTTTGTCAAAAGAAAGTAAGGAAGAAAGGCTTGGATTCTGATGACTAAATAGAGTTGCACCGCCTTCGATTATTTGGATCACATGTGCTGTTGTCAGTCGTTCTGATGACTTAATCCTTTTGTTAAAATTCTACCCATGGTGCTGTTCAAGTCTTCATGCTAGGGTAGTCGTAAAGTGCTCTGTTAATAATGTGTATAAAAACAGGGGAGGTTTAATAAGGTGTATAAAAACCCCTGATGCTGTTCAGTTTATTCAGCTTACTGGTTATGGCCTGACAGTTGACACGTGATGAAGTTACATGTGAGACTAGTTTGGACTAGTTGAGTTTTCGACATTCCTACGTTGGTGTGTATGGCACAACTCCCTTCTTCACTAGGTGTTACTACATTGACAGAGAAACAAACTTTTGAGTTTTTTTCTTCCAGTAATGATTTTAGAATTACATTGGTAAACTACTATGCTTTTGTTCAGTTGAATTTGGAGTGAAGCCTACTGTTAACATCAGTACATTCTGGGAAGACTAACTCAGAGATAAGCTTGTGGAATGGATGTGCTAGTTTTTGTTTCTCCTTTGCAATCAAAATGAACATAGTAGTTCACAATTCACTGAGAATAGCTCTCTTTTTTCTGAAAGGTTGGTGATGAAAAGGTTCAAGGGCTGTATGTTGCAAAGCTTGTGCGCTCGTTCTGCAGGTCATCTTGTGACTCTGAAGGTGAGTGTGCTCTATTCTTTTGTTTCTTATTTTCATTGGTCGTGTTCATGTTATTTCTGTTGTGAGTTAACAACTATGCTTTATCTTACTATTGTTCATCTGCCAAATTCTTCAAACGTTCATCTGTCAAATTCCGCAAACTTTTAGTTTGCAGAGTTTGGAACATGGAACTCCTAAAATTTTGGCAAACCAGTATCACAATTGTTGTGGGAATAACTAATTCTACCCAGGGTTCCTGCCTAGATCTACATGGTGTCTATGTGGCAAATTGTCAAAGTCAAGTCAACAGAAGTCCAAGCAACTAGTCATGTTCAACAAGTCAAAGAAGCTTAAGTGGAAACTCCAAGAATGATGACCCAGGAGAATTAAGCCCATTAGGTGGAGGGATATGTCACCACCTCCTATTCCCTAGTCCACCATGGACCAGTGGACCAAAATTTACCGTTGTACCGAGGATACCTTATCTTTGATCAGTCTTCGTGGACTCTCCGACTAAGTCACGCTCCAATGAGGCGGCCAAACCTATCCGAAAAAACATCGATGTGTCAACCTTGTCTTGGTCTACGACGACCTTTTTGCATAAGGCCCCCGTACACACCCTCGCTAACCTTACATTGCACTCACCAATCGACTATATATGTTAGAGTAAACTAGCTAACCACAAGTGCATTGCTATAGATCCGATTAATGAACACCAACACGTTGAACCATGTGGTGCTCCATGCCACATTCTTGGCCAGGCTTCACCTTGAGTAAAACTGGGAGTTGTTTATGAGGGAGGAACACCATGGTTGCATTTGAAATTTTAATTTAGAGTCGGTGGATGAGAAGGACTGGAGTCTTTACATAGGCATATATGGTTACCAAAATGTTGAGATGGTCCCACATATAAGAAGAGAAAGAAAAGGTGAATGACCCGCCATCTATATAGGAGTAAAGATAATGTATGGAATATGGCTGGCATACCTCAGCTTCGAGGGGACAGGGTACTGGAATAGGTAGAGGTGAACCAATTGTGAGGGAAAGACTCGGGTGAGGGGGAAATCTTATTTGTTACTGTTTTGCCTCGTGGTACAGTTCCTCTCTTTATATGGATGAGGTTAGCCCATGACAATAATATCTAATAACTAATGCAGTCTCGTCTCAGTCAAATGATAGCAATGCAATCTTTCTACTACTAATCAGTCATCCATAGAAAGGTGCAGTGGTTGTGTCCTGTGCCATTTAGATGGAATGGACTGGTATTCCTAACAATCTGGTCTTTTGACATGTTATTGGATACCCTTTTTAGTGTCAAGGAGATATCTATATTTTTTTGCTAACTGATCCATTTTCTATCTTTCTGATCTCTTTTGTATTCTTTGGCGTGGGTGAGGAGTCATCATCATATTCACCCCATAAATTGTTTTAGTTTTGCCGTTGGTATGCAGATGAAGATATATTTGAACACATCGCCTCTATACTTGTGAATATCTCAAAGGTTGAAGCTGGACGGAGAATACTGATGGAACCTAAGAGAGGTCTTCTAAAGCAGATTATAGGACAATTCGATTCAACAAACCAACTTAGAAAGAAAGGGGTATGTGCAGCTTATTTCTAATCTTGATGTTGGTGCTGGTGTTAGTATGACAATATAGACAGTCCCTATATATAGGACTATCAGTCCCTATATATAGGACTAATTGCCTGTACTCCCACATTCAATATATACGTACTCCTGGGAGTATGTACTACCACATTCAATATACCTCACACAGAAACCTATTATACCTCTTTATCATTCCAATATACTACAGATATTCAAAAGTTTTACAAAGAAATATCATCAAAGCCCTTAGTTTATGCAGTATAGTTATTTTATGTGCAAATTACTATCAAATATATGGTCTAAAAGACTAAAACATATATTTCCATGAAACTCACTTTGAGTATCTAGTTATTATATTAAAAGTAATAAAGAGGTATAACTGATTCATCTACTCCCTCCGTCCCAAAATAAGTGTCTCAACTTTGTACTAGCTCTAGTACAAATTTGTACTAAGTTCACGACACTTATTTTGGGACGGAGGGAGTATGTGGTATATGAGCAGTGACAGTACAGAACCATTTCCCCAAGGCAGAATATAATGCATATAACCATGTGTGCAGCGATACTAGCGTGTAGTGATGGTGGTTCAGTTTGTAAAATAAAATCACATTATTTTGTAACTCTTCATGATGTTTGTTCACACATTTTCCATTTTAGTACATTCCCAGTATATGAATTGATTATGTTGGACTTCAGTGTTTCCAGGTTCTTTGCAATCTAGATCTGCTTATCGCATCTTGAACTATATTCATATGCTGAGCAACGAGTGTGTTCTGTTCCTGCATAATTCCTTTTGTAAATATTTGCAGGTTGCTGGCACCATCCGTAACTGTTGCTTTGAAGCTGATACCCAGATACAAAATTTGCTTTCTATAGCAGAATATCTTTGGCCAGCTCTACTTTTGCCTGTAGCTGGAAAGAAGGTGCAGTTCTTTTAACGCGGTGGAATCATTATTTATGTGAAATTAGCTTTGAGTACATTTCCTGTCCCCCTTTTGGTAATTGTCATTTTTATGTGGTAATTTCTATGACTGTATGCATTGGCTCTGATTACCACTTTTCGTTGTGCCCCCCTCTGCCCTTTCAGAAGCACCCAACCAAATAAAATAGAACTGTCTAGTTTTTATACACCTTTAGCTTGTTAGCAAAATAACAACTTATATTCCCATGGAGCCATAGGCTAGTACATATATATATGTATAGGTGAAGGAAATATGCAGAAGGCTCCTTATACAACAGGAAAAATACAAAGGCTGCATGGCTATGTACATATAACTCTGAGGCTCTGTTTGGAACACTGGACTAAAAACGTAGGAACAGGAAAACACAGGAATCGAGATGCCACACATCCTGGATTTCTACATGAGCTAAAACCACAGGAAAACCCAAAAAATTGTGTTTGGATATGATGCAGGAAAAACACAGGAATTGTAGACACAAAGAGAAGAAAACATGAAGTATGACCTCATGTTTGGTTTCCTCCAAAATTCCTATGGAATAGCCCAATCCATAGGAATTTCAAAGGAATGTAGTATAACATTTCCTTTGTTCCAAACTGTACCCAAGGAATATTTCCTGTATGAACCATATCCTCCAAAACTTCTACATTCATGAACAATATCAGAGCTGGACATCCAGGAACTTAAGTGCTCAAGCCTCAATTACACACTATTCCCTCTGTTCCTAAATATAAGACATTTTGCAGTTTAAATTGAACTGCAAAAACGTCTTATATTTAGAAACAGAGGTTAGTACTTGTCTTTAAAACTAAACTGATGTAGAAGTTAAGGTACTCCAGGACATCACTACATGGCATACTTCACTTTGCAGGACAATCACTTGCCTATTTGAATTAATGCAACTGAAAGAAACTTATAAAAAATTCTACTCCCTCCGCCCGGAATTACTTATAGTGCTAAGATACATCCGTTTGAGTGACAAGTAATTCCGGATGGAGTAAAATACATACAGCCACCCTTGTGGCGCAAGCGATCAAATTGAGAAGTTCAGAAATGCTCAGCATTACAGCTGAGAAGGCAAGGGAAGAAGCATACTTTTTTTTTTGAGTGGACAAAGTCATGATGTTTCAAGTTAGCCATAGTTTTCAGAAATTGGTAAAACAATTAAGTACCAGCTATATATAGAATTATAGAGGCATCAAAGCAAGAAATAATCAACACAACTACACACGTAACCTCCATGAACTGTCCTTTGAATGAAGACAAATACTGTGTAGTATTTTTCCTAACCATACTGTCTGTACTATGAACTCGCAATTGTCATCTCTCAGATATTAGTAGCTTGGCCAGTTACTGGAAAAGTCAAAGAACATATTCTAGGTCTGTTATGGTAGATGGCTCCATGGCAGCACCAACCACCAGGAAGAACCTGGACTGAAATGTCTTGTCTAAATGAGAATCCATGCAATAGCATGGCAACATCAAAAGTATGCATGTTCTCTCCACAGATCTGCACCATACAAACAATATGCTCACAGATCTGGGAAGGAAGAGGATGAGAAATTTGACTGCTCACCTTCCTGAGTTTGCTGAGTGGGACGCAGGGGGCAAACCCTAGCGCATCCATAGCATGGCAGCATCAACAATATAAGGTTGCCAAGGAGCCCTAGCGCTGCCTGATCTTAGGGGGCAAACCCTTGCATGCCACGGGGGATGGGGCGATAGATGACCATAAAGGGTTGCTGGTTGGGGTGACACTAGGGTTTGTTCGCCTCAATCAGGTTAGCAGTGTTTGGGGTGTGATGAGTTCAGCTAGGGGCATTTTGCAGTGGCAGGAAGCAGGTAATAATGATGGGCACGAGTCTGGACAGAGGAACCCTTTCTCAGCAGCATGGAAATGTACTAGGGCTGGCTCCACTTCACCAAAATTAAAGCTGGTGTGTTTCGGGAAGTCTGCACCTGTTCCACTGAAGGATTATGGAACTGGAGCCTCCCTCCAAACAGAGCCTTACTTCTATATTTTTAGAATGCACTGTCGTGTTGTGATGCTCCTTACTCATTCCATCCTTCCATGTATTTACTAAAGCACACAAACGTATTGATCCATAATGACAAGTGTGAATCTGCTGTTTCGAATGGTACGGTCCCTGTAAAAGTATTTATGAGAATATCTTGCTTTTCACCATGTGTCTGTGTTCGGTGATGAATGTTCATATGCTAGACTACAGCTGTGGCTTATACTGCATGATATTTCAGATCTATAGCGAAGAAGATAGATCGAAAATGCCTCCCGAGCTTGCAAATGCACTTTCTCATGAACGAGAAGCTGTCGATGATTCTGAAATTCGTGAACGGGCACTGGAGGCTATCTATATGATCGTGATGCAGGTGAGTCTGATATTCCAAGGGAATGGCTTATGTTCTACTCCCTCTGTTAGTAAATACACGCAGTTTTGGACATTGGCACAGCCTCCAACACGCAACTTTCACTAATATACTTTTCGTACAAATAAGTTAGTAATATACTTCCTTCCTTCAGAAACACATGTTTTGGAAGTCGGCAGTCCCTGAATGCAACTTTGATAGTCAAAATTTGAAAATTACAATTTTATAAAAATATTTTCCATGTCAAATTTAATTGTATTATTTTCAACTGTTAGATCATAATATTTCCTGTATGTATCGTGAGTCAAAGTTGGTGAAGTTTTAGACTGCACATATTCTAGGAGGACATGTATTTACATAGTAGTATAAAATTATCTTACTACACTTTTTTCATGACAAAACTACTGATGATATTGGACATGGCAGTTAGAGAGGGCACCATCTGAACCCATGGGCATATGCACCCACTTTTCATAAAATGCATTTTAAGCACGTTTTAAAATGTCAAAAAAATGAAAAGAAAAAGATCACGCATACATGTTCGCAAATGTGTGTACGCGGCACAAAGTTTTATGAAAAATGTCTTTTTGTTTTGCCTCCGCAAAAAAGACAAATTTCAGTGCTTCTAAATAGTGTTTCACGACATAATTTTTTGTCTTTTTTGTACAGGCCACAATTTTTTTTATTTTTCCGTGAAACTTTATGCACGCACATAGAACATGGAGACGTACCCGTGTAATTTTTTTTCCAGATTTTTTTAGAATTCAGAAATGTGTTTTTCAAAGTGGGTTCATATGTACCCGGGTTCATCCATGCACTTCTCATGGCAGTTAGTATTTTGCATATCAGTAAAAGGTAGAAAGTTTGACTACACACTTTCTAGGGCGTCATCTATTTTGCATGCTTGTGTCTGAATATTTAGACTCCCACATATTTAAGTCTATCAATATACTATAAGTAAACTCCTTATCCACCCTACTAGCTCTTTTGAAACTGCCTGTATTTTACAGTGTTCAGCATCTCTTGTGGAACCCGATGAACTGAAACAGTGATGGGATAACGATTATCTTAGAAAAAACTCTTAATAATGATCTGTATTACTATCTCTTAACGAATGTGATGAAACCTACATGCTGAGCTTAGTTGTATGTTTGGAAATAAAATTCTCAGCATAATGAAGATCTTCATGTTTTGGGCTATAATGCTTACATTCTAATCTTGATCTTTTGATGTACTCTTCTCTTACCAGGATGATGGACGAAAGGCCTTTTGGTCAGTCAATGGGCCACGGATACTGCAGGTTGGTTATGAAGACGAAGAGGACCTGAAAGTGATGGGAGCATATGAGTTGATTGGTTCTTTGGTATTACCACTGAACTTTGGAATGTCTATATTTGCTGTACTGCACTTAAATAATGAATGCTTTGCTTTTAGAACAACATATTTTGTTTGCGCGCACCTTCAGTCTTCCTGATGTTCAATTCAGCATGTAGAATAACTTTTGGCCATTATAAATTATGAAATCGATTTCAGCATTCCTTCACATGATTCTGTTCAAGGGTACTCCTACCATTTCTTGGGGAAATACATTTCTTTTTTGTTCAAGTTCTTTATTTTTAAAAGTGATATTTGTGAGTTTTACCCAGTCTTACAGATTACTGGAGTTTTCATACCAAGTTCTTTATTTGTGAAAGTGATATTTTTAGAAGTTCTGTTCAAGATCTTATTTATTTATTGCTAAACTCCAGTAATCTGTCGGCATTCTTTATCTCCGCCATAGTACTTTATGTAGTTCAAATTAGTTATTTGAAATCCATTCCAGGTATCAAATTTTCATGGTTCACTATCTGAATTACCCCTTCTATATGGTTTGCCACCGCAAGTTGAACATTGAAGATCTGGTGTTGTTTTGTTCTTGAGCTAACTTATACTTTATTGCTTGATTGGGTGTTAACAGCTTGTCGGTAAGGGTGAAATTGAACAAGATCAAGAGCAAGGAGAAGATAAGCCTCAATGATGGGCTCAACTATGTACAATTTTTGTAATCTGTCTTATCTACTTGCTGCAAGAAAACAGGGCTGTATCGCTTCCAATCTTAAGAATGTTCTGTCGTATGGATCCAAATTTCTTTCAGTAGCTGGCTTGTTCTATCTCCTGGTTTCAGTTTTGTTGTCCACAATTTCAATGCAACTATGTAAGAGCATTAAGAACATGTTCGGTTTTTGCCTCTGATGGACAGATTGATTTACAGCATAATGTGTAGATGATAGATGTGGCCGACTAGACCTGTGTTCTTTTTCTTCTTGAAATATATGTGCTCATGGTGTAATTGTTCAGAGATGTGCAAATTGTGTTCTCATCAGTTCTAAAGGGAAAGTAGAGATCTTGATGTTGCATGGATATGCTTAGTTGTGGATATAATGCACAATTCTTGCTGATTTTACAAGATACATCCATTTGAGCACGCGACTAGTAATTGACAGTAAATTTAACAGTACTAATGCAAAAAGTTAATGTTGACTTTTTGGCGCTTTGAGACGACGTGTCCCTTGACTACGAGATGCTCATGCTTTAAAAAGGGCTAAAATATTAATGTATTTTGTGTAGGTGCCAACTGAAAATCCACAATCAGTGAAAACTTGAAACTTCTATATAGAGCATTGGATCAGTGATGGACGGTGGCAGATCACATGTGGTTTAAACCATTCATCTAAGTTCCTCGTCGATAACCCTGTCCTCTTAATACTGAGATTATTCGAGTGTCTCAAGCTCCTGTTTGTTTCTACTACCTCCATTCCTAAATATAAGACGTTGCCCCAATGTCTCTCTGTCCTGACTTGGCGGCCACTCGGCGGTCGTCGATAACCCTGTCCTCTTAATACTGAGATTATTCAAGTGTCTCAAGCTCTTGTTCGTTTCTACTACCTCCATTCCTAAATATAAGACGTTGCCCCAACGTCTCTCTGCCCTGACTTGGCGGCCACTCGGCAGGCGGCCACGGCTTTGCCCACATCACGGTGGCCTCTTGCTCGCAGAAGGATCCTCTTTCTGCCTAGATGAGCTGCACAAACTTTTCCTGTCCTTCAGATTTGGTGAAAGCCTTGTCGCTTCGGTAAACATGGGTATTGAAAATCTTAAAACTTAATACGTTCCCAATTTTAAAAGAATTCCGGAATGATGACAGATCCAGCCGTAGACCCCCGAGGGAAAATAGGGATGTCTCTTACGTTACCCATGATATGTGTTAGTATCGACGTAATCAGCCTCATGAAAATCTTAATATTTCCCTGAGGTGGTTCACCACGTGGAAACACTCTTTGTTCCATTACAGTTTCTCCAAAAAAAATCCCGAATTGGATTGAAGATTGACATGAAAAAGGAAGGAGGTTGCAGCAAAGCATGAAGATAGAGAAGAAGCTAAATCATTCATCTTGCAAAGAGATGATTCAGACAAATTAAACTACCCTTAGTTTCATAAAGTAAGCTTTGCCAGCTTACTGAAATTCTATCAGAGTGCAAATTATACAAGGCGACATGTCTCTCCCGAGAGAATGTTGAAGCTCTTTGAAGAAACATAGACAAGGCATACAATTGCTGACTGCTTGTTGTAATCAACTAATGCAGATTACATGAATACTCCTACATATTACAGTTGTCATGTAAGAATATACTCCCTCCGTATCAAAATATAAGAGGTTTTTTGACACTATCATATTGTCAAAAACGTTTTAATGTTACAGAGGTAGTACTTCCAATTTGAACTAAAACCACGACAAGTAATTTAGAACGGAGGGAGTATATCACAAGAAGGACTTCTAGACCACCGAAACAAGCATCAAATGTTGGAGCTTCAGTAACAGGTTGCCAATCAAGAGAACGCGTCATGCATAGTTCATAAAATTTACATAATCAATCATCCAGCAAGAAATGGCTCATTCGGCTTGGGGCTGAGCCGCGGCTGCCGAGTCGTCGTCAAGTTGGGGGCAGCGGTGCGGTTCGCTCACTTCAACACCCGCGAATGGCTCGCCCAACTCCTCGAGGGCGGTGCAGCAGCATTCGCCGGTGGCGGCAGTAGCTTAGATAGGAACAGGCGCATGGCATAGCCAAACAATTTGTCTATAATTATCTACAAAAACAGACTTAAGTGGATGGTCAGGAATCCCACCTGCGTTCTGCCACCGTCCGTCGCTGATCCAATGCTCTACTTACATAGCAACTTCCCAAATTTTCATTGATCGTGCATTGTCACCGGATACATGGCCAAAAAACAGATCGGAATTTGACAGCGCCTCGCTTGTTGGCTACAACAAGATAATAATAAGTAATGAAACAAAAGATCCATCTTTGCCACGGTTCAGTAGAGCCTGCACAAATGATTCCTTTCTTTGCTACCACTCTAAAGTACAGTAACAAATTAAGCACTTTATCACCGAAAGAAAAGTAGCAAAGAAACACACACAAGATTAAATAGAGCTAGCTAAGGCTGAAAAAGAGTTTAGAAGCCGTATTTAGACTTGGCCGAACTAACAAGAGTAGATGAATACAAAGAGCTGGCAGAAGATGAAGTCCCAGAGCAGCTGAAAGAATGAAGGCGGTTTACACAGCCATTAAAAGGACTAAAGGACATGGTGTTTTTTCTTAGCAGCATAGAGGAAAGATGGTGGTTAATCAGGTGCTCATTACTCTCTGTCCTTTGACGGACCAACTTTTTTCCTCTCTTCTTCTTGGGTGCATAGGATAATGTCCAGGCAGCCTATGGGCCTGCCACGAAAGACTCGGCAACCGACCGGGCAAAGCAGAGCAACCCAGAGATGCTTCCTCACTTCAAAAAGAAAAGCAAACCACAGGCAGGACGTCAGTGTTAAAAGGAAAACCAGATTGAGATCACAGCGAGAAATCTCACCGCAGACGAGGCTGTCACTCACAGCCCTCAGTTCGTCTTCCTCCCTGAGGCCTGAGCTCGGAGCATCATGAGCGACTCCAGTTCCCATGGCGGCGGCGGCGGCGGCGACACGAGCGGTCCTCAGTTTGAGCTACTCAACACCGGGCTTCATCGTAACCACGGGTTAGTCGACACCGACCTTCACTTCAACAAGACTATATGTACTACTGCGCTTCCCACACGGTCGACTCCCACGGCTCCTGTATAAGCAACACGCTCATGGCCAAGCTACCACTTGTGCGGCCACTGCTTCCCTCTAACCCTGGATCATACGGCCATGTTCCGGGGCTCGTGGCCGGTGCTGCCGTGCCGCCTTGGTGCCCCATCCATCCTTCCCGAACCGCCATCACCGTCGAGCTGTTGTCGTCCTGGCCATCCCTCCCTCTACACCTGGAGGGCTTCCGGTGCCGTCGTGCCCTCGTACCAACCCCTAAGGGCCCCTTTGATTCGCAGAAATCTAAAAACGTGGGAATAGAAAAAACATTGAATTGAAATGCCATGCTCATCTTAGTCCTATGGGATTTTGTTTTGTTTGATTACATTATAGGAAAAGCGAAGGATTTTTTCAAGGATGTTTGAGTGGATGCTAAAGTTCTTATGAACTGTGGCATAAGGTAATTCTTAGGAAAAATTCATATATGATTTAATCCTATGAATCAAATAACACATCTAGGAAAAATTCCTAAGGATTCTAATCCTCTGAAATTCCTATAACAATCCTTTGGATTCAGTATAGCCTTGTCTCCCCCCCTCTCTCTCTCCCTCTCACCTAATCTTTTTCTTATTTTAGTATTTGTTAGATCCACTTTTGCTCATTTATATTAAGTCTCTTTCATAGAAGACTACAAAATAAGCACATCATAAAATTCATCGAAGTAGACTGAGCCTTCGGATAAAGACAAGGTTTGCTGGATAGATAGTGGGTGGGCCCACAAAGCATCCAATTTTTCACGCCGTATCATGCTCTCGTTCTCACCCGCTTTGCTCTAGTCGGTTCGACCTCACTACATGGTCGACCATTCGAGAGAACTCTCGCATTGCTTCTGGTAGTGTCAGCCACAATGTTTCACAATATAAGAGAAATTGGGCCCCGTTGATGCAGGCCCTCCTTTGTCTAAAAGTAGTTACCAACATTGTCACTGACAATCATGTTAGCAATGTCAGCGTAATTTTAATAGTAACGCTACATTATTTCGATGTTAATTTTTTGCAGGTTTTTATGTTAATTTTGTAGAGACGTGATTAAGTTTTCACTGCCAGCACAAGAACACCCTGAACTTAATGGTGCCCTCTCCAGGAACCTCCAAACGCATACAAGAGGTCCAGGTACATAACCTTCTCCCTCCCATTTTACCCAAACAGAAGTGGATATTTGACTAGCTTTGTCAGATGGCTAATATAGTTCATGATTTCTAATTAGTCTAAATTCCACTATTCATGATGTCCTTTTCCCTGCGATGGGCATAAGAACTATACTACTACAAGTTGGCACGTTGATTGAGATCGATCAAACAGGTGGGTAATCATCCATTTGCTCAACTTTGAGGGTCAAAAATTCCATGTTAATCAGGATAAAAAGGAAGAAAAACCTAAATGACTTACTCCCTCCGATCCATTATAAGTGTAGCAGCTTTGAACTAAGGTTGAACTAACCTTAGTTCAAAACTGCGACACTTATTTTGGATCGGAGGGAGTACTTTTTAGGGGAATGGTAGATTTCTTTCGTACTTATTATACCCGAACATGGTTAAAAAAATGTAAGGTGAATTTTAGTCCGCACCTTCTTGCCGAATGCCTCCTTGTCCCAGTCATCGGAGCACCAAGTCATCAGTGGCGGAGCTAGAAAAATTCCATTAGGAGGGCCAAGTGCTCTTAAAACTGATTGAGGTGGGCCAAAGCATTAATTTAGCAGCAAATCATCACTAATTTTGC